TGACGGGCATTTCCTCCTCCCGATGATCAGCTGCCGCCTTCATGGCAGACAGCCGATGCTCCTGTTGATCAGCTGCCACCTTCATGGCAGACAGCTCCTGCTCCTGTTGATCAGCTGCCCCCTTCATGGCAGACAGCTCCTGCTCCTGTTGATCAGCTGCCGCCTTCATGGCAGACAGTTCCTGCTCCTTTTGATCAGCTGCCGCCTTCATGGCAGACAGCTCCTGCTCCTGTTGATCAGCTGCTGCCAACTTGGCGAACAGCAATGCCGCCTTCATGGCAGACAGCTTCTGCTCCTGTTGATCAGCTGCCGCCTTCATGGCAGTCAGCTACTTCTCTTTTTGATCAGCTGCTGCCTTCATGGCAGATAGCTCCTGCTCCTGTTGATCAGCTGCCGCCTTCATGGCAGACAGCTCCTGCTCCTGTTGATCATCTGCCGCCTTCATGGCAGACAGCTTCTGCTCCTGTTCATCAGCTGCCGCCTTCATGGCGGTCAGCTACTTCTCTTGTTGATCAGCTGCTGCCTTCATGGCAGATAGTTCCTGCTCCTGTTGATCAGCTGCTGCCAACTTGACGGACAGTTCTTGCTCCTGTTCATCAGCTGCCGCCTTCATGGCAGACAGCTCCTGCTCCTGTTGATCAGCTGCTGCCAACTTGACGGACAGCTCCTGCTCCGGATGATCAGCTGCCGCCTTCATGGCAAACAGCTCCTGCTCCTGTGCTGCCGCCAACTTGACGGACAGCTCCTGCTCCCGATGATCAGCTGCCGCCTTCATGACAGACAGCTCCTGCTCCTGTTGATCAGCTGCTGCCTTCATGGCAGACATCTGTTGGTCAGCTGCCGCCTTCATGGCAGACAGTTCCTGCTCCTGTTCATCAGCTGTCGCCTTCATGGCAGACAGCTCCTGCTCCTGTTGATCAGCTGCCGCCAACTTGACAGACATTTCTTGCTACCGATGATCAGCTGCCGCCTTCATGGCAGACAGCTCCTGCTCCTGTTGATCAGCTGCCACCTTCATGGCAGACAGCTCCTGCTCCTGTTCATCAGCTGCCGCCTTCATGGCAGACAGCTCCTGCTCCTGTTCATCAGCTGCTGCCAACTTGGCGAACAGCTCCTCTTCCTGTTGATCAGCTGCCGCCTTCATGGCAGACAGCTCCTGCTCCTGTTCATCAGCTGCCGCCTTCATGGCAGACAGCTCCTGCTCCTGTTGATCAGCTGCCGCCAACTTGACAGACATTTCTTGCTACCGATGATCAGCTGCCGCCTTCATGGCAGACAGCTCCTGCTCCTGTTGATCAGCTGAAGGCGGTCAGCTACTTCTCTTGTTGATCAACTGTTGCCTTCATGGCAGAATAGCTCCTGCTCCGGATGATCATCTGCCGCCTTCATGGCTGACAGCTTCTGCTCCTGTTGATCAGCTGCCGCCTTCATGGCGGTCAGCTACTTCTCTTTTTGACCAGCTGCTGCCTTCATGGCAGATAGCTCCTGCTCCTGTTGACCAGCTGCCGCCTTCATGGAAGACAGCTTCTGCTCCTGTTGATCAGCTGCCGCCTTCATGGCAGACAGCTTCTGCTCCTGTTGATCAGCTGCCGCCTTCATGGCAGACAGCTCCTGCTCCTCTCTCTCTCTCTCTCTTGTATGCATGAGCGCATGCATGTATGTAAATTCACATACACAAGCGCACGTACACACACGCACACACGCATACACACACACGCACACGTTGGACTTGGGACGGATGTACATTCGGGGTGTAACAACTACCAGGCTACCCTTCACCATCACTGTCTCCTGGTCCACTAAGGGTAAGGGGTAGTGCCAGACCCCCCCCCCCCCCCACTTGGGTACACAGAAACTGTTGGCAGTAGGGCAGTGGATGAGATGATGGGCGATTACGAATTATTCGGAATTTCCGTCATCACTCTCTATGGCGCTGCTCATATCAGATTGGCAGAGTCTTCTTCCTCTAGTTGAGAACTGCGGTAGAGAAGAAGAAAAATCATGATTATGCACATTAGAAAATCTATCCAACAACAGCGAAAAGGGAATCCTTACCTCACTCTAGGGAACACCCGACCAATACAAGACAAAGAATAAACTGGTAAAGAAGGGGGACGAAATCCCTTGCAGGTCATTATTCGACCGTCGTCCACGTAATACTATATATAAAGTGGGAACTTTGAATGTAAGAAGTATGTACGAAATTGGAAAATGGATGACATCAAACCGGAAATGAAGAGAATGAGAATTAATATCTTTGGAATAAGTGAAGTTCGACAGGCGCAGATGCGATTAAAACGGATGATATCCACTTATTGTATTTAAGTGAACAAACACATGAGAGTGGGGTCGGTATAATAATTGCAACAGAGGAAATATCAAGATGTGTGAAAGGTTATTGACCAGCCTCTGATTGGGTTATTATAGTCTTGAAAATATGTGCAGAGTTATTTGATACAGTAATCATTCAAGTGTATGTCCCAACAACAGAAAACTCATAAGATATATAGATATGTTATACAAACAATTACATGACTCTATGAATATATGTAATCAAAGACCTTTGATGATGAGAGACAGATGCAAGATAAAAACCAAAGATAGCGCAGTAGCAACGTGGGTTTGTTAGAAATAAAGGAACAAGAAATTCAGCATTTATAAGAAACTTGAATGAAAGAGCAATTGAAGTACAATATATGTTTACATTTGTCTCATAGATTATCAAAAGGCGTTCGACGAGGTGAAACATGAGCAACTCTTTGATATCTTACAATAAGTTGATCTTGATGATAAAGACCTTAAAGTGATTAGATATTCGTACTCGGCACAAACTGTAACATTGCAAGTGCAAAACGAAATAACTAGTTACAGTAAAATAAAAGGAGGTGTCAGGCAGGGATGTGTGTTTTCGCTTTATCTATTTAATACAATGAAAGCATCCTCAGTGAAATTTCTGATCAGGAATACAAGTAGGTGTTAATATTATTTATTTAAGGTACGCAGATGATACTGCTTCGTTGCAGGATCCGAAAAAATCTACAGTGATCCTAGATAAAGCTTTTGAAAGGTGATCATTGTGATTTAAAGAACAACTGCCAGGAAACAGAACGTATGGTGATATCGAAAAGGAGAGGAAATTCAGTGTAATCTGAAAATTGGTAAGAACACGATTAAGAAGCTCGAGAAGTTGTAAGATCTCGGAAGCTGGAAAACATCAGATAGTAGATGCGATCAAAACATTAAAAGAAGAATTGGCTTAACTAAAAATGCGTTTCAAAGTTTCAGAAGATACTTACGAATAAGAAACTGTCATTGAGTTCAAATAAAAAGAATGTGGATTGTTATGTGTACCCCATTTTAGAATAAGAATCAGAATGCTGTATCATATCAGAAACAATGGAGCAACGGCTAGAGGCAACAGAGACTTGGTATTGGAGAAAAAAAATATATATCTTGGACATGACATAAATTAAACGAGTGGGTATTCCACCTAACAAAGACAAAGCGGATAAAGTCAAAGGCAGAATGGTCATTTGATACGGAACAAAGAGATGGAACATCCTATATTATGACTGGAAAGATCATAAGACGAAAGAGCAGAGAAAGACAAAGAACAATGTTTCTAAAGAATATGTCAGAGAAGCTGAGGTGAACACCATGTTAAGCGTGACATGCTGCTGAAAACCGGACATCGTGGAGAACCATGATAACCAACGCCGATAGTAGGCAGGGTACTCAGAGAAATATGAGAGGGGCTATATGTTTACCTATTCAATGTTTAGCTATTTATTAACTTACCTATTTATCAATTTACAGAGAGAGATCTGAAAGAGACAGACAGGCAAAAATAGAGAGAGAGAGACAGAGACAGAGAGAGGCGGACAGAGACAGAATAAGTCACAGACGGTTAGACTGGCAGAAAGACGGACAGATAGACAGAGAGACTGGCAGAAAGACAGAAAGAGAGAGAGGGAGAGACAGAGAGAGGCAGACAGAGACAATGAATCACATAGACGGAGAGGCTGGCAGAAAGACGGACAGACAGAGAGAGAGAGAGAGAGATGTATACATGGACGTAGCTAAACGTTTGGGGGCCCGGCAGTCTGTCCCCTGAGAAGACCCTTATATTGCTTAGGTTTGACAATGAAAGCATTAATTACAAATTAGGAATATTCATTTACTAATTTCAACCGAAACAAATATTTCTATTACTAATGCAAAATAATGTGCACTTCTCGATGTCTTATATTATTATAGCCTACACTGGTTGAACGATCAGTAATGATAAAAATAATAATACATATAATGATAGTAATAATGATAATAATGATCATAATGATGATGATAATAATAATAAAATGATAATGATAATAGTAATGTTGATGGTGATAATAATGATAATAACATTAATATTAATAATAATAATAGTGACCAGAGTAATAATAATAATTATCATCATCATCACCATCATCAACATCATTATCAGCATCATTACTATTATCAAAACAATAATAATGAGTGGTAGTAATAGTAGTTGTCGTAGTAATATTGAGAATAATAACAATGATGATAATTACAATACTAACCTAACCATGATAACATAAATCGTAATGTTATCACATACGGAAAGAATTAAAACACTAATAGTAATAAGCACATGTACTCACCAGTACTGAACGCACGCACAAACACCGATACGTACGCTTTACTACCACTCACTCCTACAGAATCTCGTGCACACGGTTCTTCGCCCACATTCAAAACTTGATAAATAAAACGCTAATTCTACAATCGCTTCCACATGTACTGGACGCGGCAAGCAGAAATATATCTCTTCTAAAATTATCCCCATCGCCACAGGTCTCTTCACCCGAGCGCACAACCTTCCAATATATAAATACTATTTTGAAAAAACAAACCTCTTATTTTTAAACCACACATCGCGTATCTTAACAGAATTCACAACTATTATGATACAAAAGACAGCAGAAAGTTCCACC